CTGATGGGACTGTAAAATGGTATAGTCACTGTGGAAAATGGTATGGTACTTATTTGAAAAGATGGAAATAGAAATGCCATATAATCCAGCAATCCTACTACTAAGTAGATATCCTAGAGAAATAAGAACCATGACACAAACAGGTATCTGCACACCCATGTTCATCTCAGCAGTATTCACAACAGCAAAAAGATGGAAACAATCTAAGTGCCAATCAACAGAGTCATGGATAAACTACGGTACATATGCACAATGGGATACAGCATAACATTCAAAAATAATGATGAATTTGCTAAACACCTCATTACATGGATGAATCTGGAGGACATTATCCTGAGTAAAATTAGTCAATCACAAAAGGACGACTATTGTATAAAACTATGATAAACACTGGTCTGCAAATCACAAGGTCAGCAGTTCGAGCCTACCAGCTGCTCTGAAGAAGAACACTGAGGCTTTTGCTCCCATAAAAATGTATAGCCTTGGAAACCCTATATAGAGCCGCTATGAGTTGGAACCAACTCAACGGCACTGAACAACAACTATTAAGAAAAGGTTTTCACACAAAAAGAAACATTCTTTGAAGGTTACTGGGGTGGGAGGAGAAAGGAGGTACAGAACTAACTAGAAGGCAGACACGTGTGAACTTGGGCAAGTCTGCACCAAATGACCCAGGCAAAGGAAGCCAGTGCGGGAGCACAAGAGTTAGAAGCAACAAAGGCAAATACTATAGCATGCACAATCCTGCAATCAATTTAATAATAATCTACAAGTGGCTATATAGACAGACACACAGACTGAGCAGATGTGAGAAGATGAATGGGACCACACCCACGAATATATGCAGGTCTGACAGAGGATATTTCTGCATATGTATCTATATATGCTACAAATATGAGGCGACTTCAAAAGACTCATGGAAAAATACCATTATCTCTTCATTACATTCTTCCACAAACTTTTGGAGCCCCTTCATTGATCCATGAATATAGTAGAACATTTGTTGTTGTGGATAAGTGTGTTCAAGTGGGTTCCAACACATAGCCACCCTATATCAGGGTTTGAATCGCCGACCTTGTGGTTCATAGTCCCGTGCTCATCCTCCAGAGCTACATCCACCAAGATTCCTAGTAGAGCCTAGAGAGGGCAAAATGATGAAGACCAAACAGCGTGAGAACGAGAACCATAGTCTCAGGGGTACCAAGGTCAACTGGCATACCATAGTCCACAAAGACAGCGTTCTACATCGTACTTGGGTGAGTAGCATCTGGGACCTTGGTGTTTCCCTGGCCAGAGAAGAGTGGGGAATATCAAAGAGGCATGGAAGCAATTAGTCCAGAGGACTAATTGGACCACTCAAACCTGTCTCCAGGACCCTGAGACTAGAAGACCTAGATGATTCCCAGCTACCACAATTTTAAAAATTAAAATACTCAGTTTATGTCAGAAGCGACTTACGATGGAGTCCTTGGAAGGAAGTCCACCCTGTCTTGGCAGGGACTGCTTATTTTCAGAAATCTCACAATATTTGTCTGTGTTTACTGAACTGTTAACTGACTTATGCAGGCACTACATTGTTTCACACTTACTCATGCTCAACCTTTTTGCTTTTGATTTTGGGTGATAATTAAGAATTTTTACATGACCCTTGGGTTTTCCAAAATAGGTGAGGAAGCATATATATACAGTAGAAGCTCTCTTATTTGGCCTTTTCTTACCCAACTGAAGAGTTCTTGGGCCATGCAAATAGTTAAGCACTAGACGACTAACTGAAAGGTGGTTTGAATCAACCCAGATGTGCCTTGGAAGAAAGGCCTGGTGATCTGCTTCTGAAAGAGCACAGCTTTGAAAGCCCTATGGAGTACTTCTCCTCTGTTCACATGGGGTCACCCCCATGGAATTGACTTGAGGACAATGAGTTTGTGGTTTTGCCCAACTCACTAAATTAACTACCGTTCTTCAGTCCATGGTGGACACCTTGAGTGACGCCTGGACATCCAGGAGGACCAGCTCTAACCCCAGCTGAGCACGTGTGACTGGACCCACGTCTGTGTGTGCCAGGTATCCCTACACTGGCAGTTACATCATTTCCTGAGTTAATGTGTAAATCAAGGAACTACATGTGAAAAGAGAGTTGAGACTTCTACAACAACTAAGTTCAATGATGTGTAAAAGTGAATTGTACAAAGAAAACCTGCCATGGAATTAGTATAGAAGAGCTAATGATACAAGAGTGAGGGAAACTGTAACAATCTAGAAGGATTTAGACAGTACATTATGAACATACTTTATAAAGAAAGACAATGCTTCAATCTAATCAGACTTACCTGGTCTTACGATGGCGTTCTGTTCTGATGACTGTTTCGTTAAGTCAGTTCTGATATAAGTGGTCTAACCTCCTCTCTCTCTCTCTCTCTCTCTCTTTTTTTTTTTAAATTTTTATTATTATTACCTTTTTATGTTGGTTTCTTTATAAATCCACTTTTTGAACATCTGCAAGTGAACATCTGAAAAGAATAGCATCAGCAGAGTATACGATGCTGCCTTTCATGCAATACATAAATACAGAGACATTCATAAACGTGATTCGTTGTAACTCGAATACATCATAATTTGAAGACTACTAATACTTCCAAAATTTAGGCAGATGAATTCACAGTTATGCTTTAATCTAAAATAAAATGTTTGAGACTGTTTTGCAGTCTTTTTCAGTGAATGATTATACATATAAAATGATTACGTCAAAATCTAGGATGGACGTGCTAGAGCAGAGTTAGGGGTACAGCAGTTTGTATAAAGAGAGCATAAAAAAGAAGGAACTCGGGCATATGGGGAGGAGAGGTGCACAGCAAACAATGAATTGAATACGGAAGATACTCCAGCAACATTACAATGTGTTTGAAAGCCATTTTGCCCTTTTATAACTGCTTAGGCAATCAAAAAATATTTGTAGTCAAATTGTTTTCAGTTGAATGTTCCTACACTGCACTATTAGATGTAACATTCTTGGCACAGAATCTCAGTGGAAACTACTTATTATCTGATTTTTGGCTCTATTTATAATTGAAAGTAGAAACAATGAAGTATATTTTCTCTGAAACTTATTTTAGGTTCAGGAGAAAACAAGATGGGAGAAATGGCATAGAAATGAGATGGAATCTGTCTCTGTCCTTCTGTGACCCACTTGTAAACATGTCCTATAATAATACAGGAGCTAAAGGCACACTTTAAATGATTAACTGGAAACCTGACTCCGGTGTCTCTAAGAAAGGTTTTAGAGCAGAAAATTCCCAATGGCCTTCTCAGTGTGAACACTGGGAGCCTTCTCTTATATCAGCAAGGAGAGAAATCGACTCCTATGTAAAATTAGAATTTGAGGCTGAACTCTTTGTCTCTAAATGAGGATTTAGTCAAGCAAGCTACCCTGATTAGGGGTGTGCAGAGAATTCCCAATTCAACATTAGTTTGGAGAGCTGGCTCTTGCCAGCTTACGCCATTGAAAAGCAGTGGAGAGGTTTTATAAACTGTTCAGGTCTGTGTGTCATGGAACATTCTGTGTGGTAAACGTAGAGGCCAGGAGGGAGCATAGGGGTAATGGCTGCTAGGTATGAATTAGTCGAACACAGAACCACATGGCGCCTTGCTCCCAGGGAATCTCAGTAAAGCACATGTACTAAAACACTACTCCATAACATAGTTCAAAACAGTACCCAATTCTCAATGGGACTCTTCTTAAATGCCCAGATTCCCCCCGCCCCGCTTTGTTCCCCCAAATCCTTGTCCGTGTGAGAAATCATTAGAACATTTGCTGACCTAAATTTTTGGTGGAGATGGACCATTATTAATGTATTTCAACCAACAGGTATTGATTATATTTGCTTAGCACCATGGAGAAATCCATGTCCTGGTGTAGCACTATGGGATAAGCACTAGACTTCTAACTACAAGGCAAGTGGTTCAAACCCAGTAGCCACTCCTTGGAAACCCTAGACAGCATTGCTGTGAGTCGAAACCAACTCAACAGTCCTCAGCAACAACAAATGGGGAAATCCTAAGTTGCATTCAAAGTCTCATTGGGGAAATGAAATACATACTCGAGAAACAGTCATAGAATAATTCAGTTTCAAAACAAGTGCGTTGGATAGCTGTTGAGCAACAGCTGTTGAATTATGAGCAGGACCCCGTGATTGTTGTTGTGGGGTAGAATTCTGGGTGGATGGGTAATTTTCCCAAGTATGCTTGATGTTTATGAGGTTTATAGCTTACCCAAGAACACACTGTTAATGAGTATGTAATTGTGTAATGTTGCAAAGTGCTGTCGAGTTAGTTCTGACTCATACCAACCCTGTATAGGGTTTCCGAGGAGTGTTTGGTGGGTTTGAACTGCCAACCTTGAGGTTAATAGTCCAAGTGCTTATCCTACAGTGCCACACCAGGACTGTAGCAATAAGTAAGCATTGATTTGGACATGACATCAGAAGGGTCCGTGGAAACGCAATTCCGAATTTACCGCCCTGCTCTTTTCTATGGTAGAAACCAACCAGTTTCAGATTTGAATAATAACAAACGCAGTCGACCAACAGGGTTAATGGGATGCCTGTTATCCCAGAAGTTGAAATAACATAGGGCAGTGGTGGGTCAGTGGTCGAATTCTTGCCTTCCCTGTAGGAGACCAGAGTTCAGTTTCTGGCCAGTATACCTCTTATGTAGCCACTGTCAGTGGAGGCTTGCATGTTGCTATGACACTGAATAGATTTCAGCGGAGCTTCTAAACCAAAACAGTAGGAAGAAAGACCTAGTGAGCTATGTCCAAAAAGCAGCCATTGAAAACCCTATGGACCTCCATAGTCTGTTATGAGATGACGCAGTGTTTTGTTCTGTTGTATATGGAATCAAGGTGAGTGGGGGAACAACTCCACAACCACTAACAACAGCAAAGATTTAGTTAACCAGATATGTAACCATATAAGTCTAAATTTGGAGGTCCATCTTTTTTGTAGGACCTGATGATGCCCAGCAGAAAATAGAGCCTCATCATACAGCAGTGCTGGGGGAAGGGGACTGTGTCCAGGTGGAGAACAAGGTAAGCATCGGAGAGTGATTGTGTCCTTCACTGGTACTCCTCCTTGCTACACCTTTCCAGGAAAATGCTTACTGTGTGGTTGGATATTTTTCTTCATTCATTCATTTCTTTTATTTCTATTGGTTTATTTTTTAAAGTTTTATCTAAGCTTATTCCCCAACCACAGGAATCACATAAAAGGTGTGGCACTGTAGGATAAGCATTAGACTGCTAACTGTAAGGTCGGTGATTCAAACCCACAAGCCACTCCTCAAAAACCCTATACAGGGTTGCTATGAGTCAGAACTGACTCAACCGTACTTAACAACAGCAGACATTTGAATCTGGAGGCAATTTTTTTTTTGGCTCGTAATTGTTTTTTTCTTTCTATACTTGCTTTCATTTTTGTTTGTTTGTTTGTTTGTTTAGTTTGTGGGAAAATGAGTTGGACCTAGATTATGGGGAAATGAGTTGGCCCTTTAGAAGTATATATAGAGACTTTCTAGGCATCCTCACATAGAGCCCTTGAAAATTTGGAAACGGATAATAATGTTTAGTTTCCAAGTTCCTTTTCCATGAACGTTGCTTATGCTAAGGAATCCTGGTGGAGCGGTAGTTAAGCACTTTGTTGCTAACCAAAAGGTTGGTGGTTCCAACCCACCACGGGAGAATGATGTTGGCAGTCTCCTTCTATAAAGATTTCTAGCCTTGGAAACCCTGTGGGGCAGCGCCACTTTTTCCTTATAAGGGTCCGTTGAGTCAGAATGGATTCCACAACAATGGGGTGGGGGGTTGTAGTTAGATTTAAGAGTGTGTTGAAGCCAGACCCTTGACTTTTTGAGCACATAAACGGACTCAATGGTACCTATGGCACCTAATACCAACTATTTCACTTCTTAGATGAGAGCCAACCCGAACAATAGCTTCCGAATTGATTTATCATTTTTAGGGTTCTTAGAGATTGTGATCCACCTCAGGCTATTCTGGCCATTTCATCTGGACTGGGGCCAGTCACCTGGCAACAGCTTCTGACCCAAGGGCTGAGCTTCCTTGTGCACTGTGGACTTTCTCTGAGTGATGGTTGCTGGGATGGCTCCTCATTAGGACCACTGGAATGAGAGGCTCAATCTCGTCCTTAGACAAATGTTACCACTAGTGTCCCACTGAGAAGAACCCAAGCCTCATGGGTTAGAAGGTGAAGCCTCACTGGCTTTCATCAAAACCATGGTGGTGGTGGTGGTGGTGATGTTAGGTGCTTTGGAGTCATAACAATCTTATGTACAACAGAACAAAACACTGCCCTCTCCTGTGTATCCTTCACAATCTTTACTATGCTAGAGCCTATTGTTGTAGACACTGTGTCAGTCCATCTCATTGAAGGTCTTCCTCTTTTTCCCTGACCCTGTGCTATACCAAGCATGATGTTCTTCTAAGGAGAATTCTGGCTGTAATTCTTCCAACACACATTTAATCCTTCCTCTGGCAGTCCATACTCTTCACCAAAACCGGAACACAAAGACATCAATTCTTCTTGGGTTTTCCTTATGAATGTAAAGCAACTGAAAGTGACATGGTGATAGTTTTGCTTTTTAACACTCTAAAAAGCTCTTTGGTAGTAGATTTGCCCCATGCAAGACCTCATTTGATTGGTTGACTGCTACTTCCAGGGACATTGATGGTGGATCCAAGTTAAATGAAGTCCTTGACAACTTCAATCTTTCTCCATTTATCATGATGTTGTCTATTGATCCAGTTGTGAGGATTTTTGTTTTCTTTGGGTTGAGGTGTAATTCACACTAAAGGGCGATAGTCTTTGGTCTTCATCACTAAGTGCTTCAAATCCTCTTCACTTTCAGCAAGCAAGATTGTGTCATCTGTGTATTCTAGGTTGTTAATGAGCCTTACTCCAATCCTGATGCCTCATTCTTCTTCCTATAACCCAGATTCTGGGATTAATTTGCTTAGCATACAGTTTGCATAAGTATAGTGATTGGTACAACCTTGGTACACACCATTTTTAATTTTAAACCATGCAGTATCTTGCATGCCTCTTGGTCTATGTGCAGTTCCACTTAAGGGTTTTGAAATTCCCATTCTTTACAATGTAATCCATAATTCGTTATTATCCATACAGTGAATGCTTTTGCATAATCAATAAAACGCAGGTAAACATCTTTCTTGGCTTTAAGCCAAGATCTATCTGACTTCAACAATGATGTCTCTTATTCCACGTCCTCTTCAGAATCCAGTTTGCATTTCTGGCATTTCCCAGGAGATGTACAAGTTACTGCCACAGTTTTTAAGTTATCTTCAGCAAAATTTGACTTGTATGTGATATCAGTGACATTGTTTGATAATTCCATCATTCTGCGGGGTCACCTTTCTTTGGAATGGGCTCATATGTGGATCTCTACCAATTGGTTTGGCTCTGTGGGTTAGGCGTTGGGCTGCTAACTGTAAGGTTGGAGGTTCAAACCCACCAGCCACTCAGCAGGCGAACGATGAGACTGTCTGCTCCCATAAAGATTTACAGTCTCAAACCCTACGTAAGGTCGTTTTGAGTTGGAATTCACGTGATGGCAGTGGGTTTTGGGTTTTGGTTTACCAATGGTTAAAACTATTTTTCAGAGATACTTTTCTTTCTAATGTCTGTGGTCTCAAATGAAAACTTCCCCACTCTTAGGGAACTGTAGGGAATAACCGAGTTTATTTATCCAATAAACTCTGGATAGCCAAGTTTTGTCTTTGAAGTTGAATGTTTAATCATTTAAATATCACATTAAAAAAGCAAGAAATCATTTTTGATGGAAGCCTTTCTCTTTCCTGCATAAATTCATCCATCCATAACCTTGGGTCGTCAGCATGTGCATTACTGTTTGTGAACTATGATGATGCCTTTAGGGTCTGCTTACTACTACACTAACGTGCTCCTTGACTAAGTTCTGAGCTTCTCTGCCTATTTTTCATAGTTTAAAAAAAAATACATATCCTTTCCATCCTTGATCTCAAACTATTGGTTTTCTAGTATTGCTATACAATAATACAGCAGTACTATTGTATAGCGGGTTAATGTGCTGGACTGCAAAGTCGGTTTGAACTGCAAAGTCAATGGTTCAAGTTTACCTGCCGCTTCTCAGAAACTCTATACAGGGCCGCTATGAGTAGGGACTGACTCGGCAACACTTAACAACAACAAGGGGAAGCTATTTCACATGTGAGTTAAGCATTGGACAGTGTAACCAAGTTCCTATATACAAGTCACCACATATAAACGTGTATATGTAATTCAAAAATACATATGTAATTCACCTCTGACAGACTACAGTTATCTTTAATTCCAAATGAAAGCACCAATGTCTACCTAAGTAAATTTACAGAAAAGTTTATATATTTTTAGGATTTTGATAAATATAGGACTCTCTGAGTCAGCATGTTAATTACTTAAGATATTTAAATCATCTCATATAATGAAATGTGAATCCTGAAATGTATTGATTGAAAACAATTCCCCAAACACAAAATTTCAAAGAAAAGAAATTTTATTGTTCTTTTTAACTTTTAAAATCAACACATCGATTGGGGCATAATTGAAACAAAAATATACTGAAAAATCAAGTGAAGAAAAGAAAATTCATCTTAATTCTCATCACTCAGAAATAACTAGTGATGACATTTGGGTGTATTTCTTCTCTAACTTTTCCAATATATGAATTTTTTTAAATTAGAATCATTCTCTGTCATTTATTGACACTTTTCAAACTTAACAATGCATTAGAAACATTGGACTACATACTTGGAGGAAAGAGATTGCAATGCTTGTATATTTCATCTTGTAAGCATAGCTTAACTAACCCCTCTTGGTGGGAGAATTGTTTCCAATGTTTGCTATGGCAGTGCTACAATGAACAAACTTGGTGTGAAACTGATTCTTACCTTATACCATATTCCTATTATTATATCCTATTCCATTACTGGGTCCGAGGACAACAGCAATACTGAATTTTTAAAAATCATTGCCAAATTATCCTCTAGAAGGATTGTTGTTGTTGTTGTTAGGTGCCATCGAGTCGGTACCGACTCATAGCGACCTGATGCACAACAGAACGAAACACTGTCCGATCCTGGGCCAACCTCACAATTGTTGCTACACCTGAGCCCATTGCTGCTGCCACTGTGCCAGTCCATATCATTGGGGGTCTACCTTGTTTTCTCTGATCCTCCACTTTATCAAACATATCCTTCTCCAGTGACTGATCCCTCCTGACAATATGTCCAAAATATGAGGAATGAAGTCTGGCCATCCTGGCCTCCAAGGAGCACTCTGGCTGTATGTCTTCCAACACAGATTGCTTTGTTGTTTTGGCAGCCAATTGTACTTCCAATATTCTTCTCCAACACCATAGGTCAAGTGCATGAACTCTTATGGTCTTCCTGTCCAACTTTCGCATACATATGATGTTATTGAAAATACCATAACTTGGGTCAGGCGCATCTTAATTCTCAAACTGACATCTTTGCTTTCCAACACTTAAAAGAGGTCTTGTGCAGCAGATTCGCCTAATGCAATATGTCATTTGATTTCTTGACTGCTGCTTCCACCAGTATTGATGACTGATGCGAGCAAAATGAAGTCCTTGACAACTTCAATCTTTTCTCCATTGATAAGAATGTTTATTGGTCCAGTGGTGAGGATTTTTGTTTTCTTTACACTGAGTTGCAACCCATACCGGAGGCTGTGGTCTTTGATCTTCATCAATAAGTATTTTAGTCCTCTTCGCTTTCAGCAAGCAAGGTTGCATCATCTCTGTATTGCAGGTTGTTAATGAGTCTTCCTCCAATCCTGATGCCATGTTCTTCTTCATATATTAAAGGTTCTCAGATTATTTGCTCAGCATACCTATTGAATAAGTATGGTGAAAGAATGCAACCCTGGCACACACCTTTCCTAATTTTAAACCATTCAGTGTTCCCTTGTTATGTTCAAACAACTGCCTCTTAGTCTATGTACAGGTTCCTCTTGAGCACAATTAAGTGTTCTGGAATACTCATACTTCAAAATGGTGTCCATAGCTTGTCATGATCCACATAATCAAAAGCTTTTGCATAGTCAATAAGACACAGTTAAACATCTTTCTGGTATTCTCTGCTTTCAGCCAAGATCCATCAGACATCAGCAAGAGGACATCATTCCACGTCCTCTTCTGAATCCAGCGTGAACCTCTGGAAGTTTTGTGTCAATGTATGCCTGCAGATGTTTTTGTATTATCTTCAGCAAAAGTTTGCTTGCATGCATTATTAATGATATTGTCCGATGGTTTCTGCATTCTATTGGGTCACCTCTCTTTGGAATGGGCACAAATAGGGAACTCTCCAATTTCTTCATAGATGAGTGAATGCCTCCAGGGTCGCATGAGTTTGTTGAAAGATTTCACTTTATTTGTGTTCCATCAATTCCCGGAGCCTTGTTCGTTGCCAGTGCTTTCAGTACACCTTAGACTTCTTCCTTCAGGATCATTAGCTCTTGATCATACGCTACCTCTTGAAACAATTGAACATCAACCATTTCTTTTTGGTACAGTAACTCTACATTCCTTCCATCTTCTTTTGATACTTTCTGCATCATTCAATGCTTTACCCATAGAATCCTTCAGTATTGCAAGTCGAGGCTTAAATTTTTTCTTAAGTTGTTTTAGTTTGAGAAATGCTGGCATGTTCTTTCCTTTTAGTTTTCTAACTCCAGGTCTTTGCACATTTCATTATAATATTTGACTTTGTCTTCTTGAGTTGACCTTTGAAGCTTTCTGTTCAGCTCTTTTACCTCTTCATTTCTTCCATGTGATTTAGCATCTCTATGCTGGAGAACAATTTCAGAGTCTCTTCTGACATCCATTTTGGTCTTTTCCTTCTTTCCTATATGATGTTCCTGATGTCATACCACAACTCTTTTGGTCTTTGGTTTTTAATGTCTAATTCATCAAATTTGTTATTCAGTTGATCTCTAAATTCAGGTGAGATGTGTTCAAGGCCATATTTTTACATTTGTCTACTAGTTTTCATTTTCTTCAGCTTCAGCCTGAACTTGTTGTTGTTGGTAAGTGCTGTTGAGTCAGTTCCGACCCAGAGTGACCCTGTGTAGGGTTACCAAGGAGTGGCTGATGAGCTTGAACTACCAACCTTGCAGTTCAAATGGCTTTGCAGTCTGACACATTAACCCACAGCGCAGCACCTTAATTGATGGTGTGTTCCACAATCTGCCCCTGGCCTTGTTTTGGCTGATGATATGGAGCTTTTTCACTGTGTTTTTCCACAGATATGGTCAATTTGATTTCTGTGTGTTCCATCTGGTGAGGTCCATGTGCATAATCATCTTTTACGTTGTTTAAAAAGGTATTTGCTATAAAGAAGTCATTGATCTTGCAAAATTCTATCATGCGATCTCCAGCATCATTTCTATCCCCAAGGCCATATTTTCCAACTACCGATCCTTCCTTTGTTTCCAACCTTTGCATTCCAATCCCCAGTCATTATCAATACATATTGATTGCATGTGTGATCAATTTCAGACTGAAGAAGTAGGTAGAATTCTTCAATTTCATCATCACTGGCTTTAGTGGTTGGTGCGTAAATTTGAATAATAGTTATATTAACTGGTCTGCCGTGTGTTGTTGTTGTTAAGTGCCGTTGAGTCAGTTCCGACCCATAGCGACCATGTACAAGGTTTCCGAGGCTGTAACTTTTTTTACAGGAGCAAAAAGCCTCATCTTTCTGCCATGGAGTGGCTGGTAGTTTTGAACTGCTGACCTTAAGGTTCGCAGCCCGATTTGTAACCACTACGCTACCAGAGCTCCTTGGTCTGCCTAGGAGGCATATGGATATTATCCTTTCACAGACTGTTGTATTTCAAAACAAAGATTATAAGGATTGTTTTAAAACTATTTTAAATTTCCCAAACCATGTATGAGTTTGGGGCCCTGGCGTGGTGCTGTAGGGTAATGCACTGGACTGCAAGGTTGATTTGAGCTACAAGGTCAGCGGTTCAAACTCAACAGCCGCTCTTCAGAAATAAGGTCACTATGAGTCAGAACCGACTCAGTGGCACTTAACAACAACATGAGTCGAAACCAACTCAACGTCACTTAACACCAAAAAGCCATATGTGAAAGCATATGTTTCCCTGCATCCACATAATGTGCCAGACTGTAAAGCCATTTGCACTGTAAGGTCGGCAGTTCAAGCTCACCAACTACTCCTTGGAAACCCTATACAGGGTCGCTATGGGTCAGAATCAACTCGATGGCACTTAACAACAACAAGAAAATTATCATTTAAAATGTGTTTACAATTCGTAAAAAATAACAAAATCAAATCCTGGATTCTGAACAACTTTGAGAGACTTTAAGGAATCCTGGTGTTGTGCTGTAGAAGAAGCACTCGACCATAAGGTAAGTGGTTCAAAGTGATGAGTCAAACGGACTCGACACCACTTAACAACAGCAGCAGCAGTGGAATAGGACAGAAATTGGCCTGAGCACGTACATATTCTGTGGATGCTCTGGGTTTTGCTCAGTTCCATTTCATTCAGCGAATAGAAGGCCCATTTTGCATCATTGGGAATCAATGTCAAAGATAATAAAATCTTACCTTGGGATAGTCATTAATAAGAACCCCTTTTTGAAATGATGTTAGCAGTGGGAAAGAAATACGGCAAATCTGTGTAAGTCAGAACCTGTATAAGGCGGAAACCTGTCAGTGAAAGAAAACTCAAATCTTTTCCAATTAAAGTTTTCTCTGAAAGGCAGAAAAGTTTCGATACCTGAAAAAAACAGTTAAATCTCACAGATTTTACTGTACAAATCCTACCAAAAACAACAACAACTCAATCACACAGTTTGTCTTGAAGGTGCTTCCAGCTTCAGAAAATTTTCATTTAAATTCTCTTTTATTACTTTGATGAGGTTCATATTTTGGTGGAAAAGAGAAGGAAGGGAAGGGCAAAAAAAAAAAAAGAGGAAATTGCTTTCTTCTTTTTATGGGACGTCTTGTTTTTTCATGTACTTGAAGGCAAACAATGTATATTTATTTTCTCATTAAAAAAAGAGCTTTCACATTATTTTCATTTGAAACATTGAGGTCAGGTTACCATGGCAGCATCTTCTTTGCTGTTCTGACATGTTTCATACAGGACAGTCTGACCACTGATTCCATCTTGATAAATGATGACATATGATATTAAAAACAAAGATAGAAGCATGTTTATTATTTGATGCTTTCTCTGTTGACTTTAGGATCCTGAGAGGAGCCACTTTGTCTTAATTGCTGGGGAGCCTTTAAGAGAGCCTGTTGTTCAACATGGTAAGACCCCAACGGTGATGATCTCAGCTGATTGTCTTTTCCTTTGAAAACATTATACCTGGAAAATGTTATTGTCAAGAATAGCTGGGTTTGGGTATTATCTCTAGATCCACATATTTGAAGATGTTGTTTAATTTCTCCCTTGTCAAAGGAAAAGATCTCCAATGGTGTTTATTTCTCTGTTCATTGGTTCTTTCTTTTAAAGAAACATTTATTGAAGACCTACCATGTATGGGCCATAGTGCTTGGAATTGTAGGGAAACTAACAAAAACCAGCACATTTGCATTATTTCATAGGTCATTTAAATTTCAACAACAACAAAAACAGAATTTGCAGTATATTGGGGATTTGAATGTCATTTTTATCTTGGTCACAAATAACAATGAGTTCAATACTGTCCTTGTAGTCTGTTGTCTTTTTAGTGAAGAAATAAAAGCCTCTTTAGAATAATGTTTCTACAAAGTAGACAGGGATGGGCAACTTGGACATTGGCTACCCAAAATGGGGAGCTACAAAGGCAAGAAGTGACTGGCTTACAAGCTTTCAAGAGGGAGCCTAGATCCAGAGGGCACAGAGGAACGTAAAATCTCCACTGAGTAATATCCAATCTGTCTGGGCAGAGCTGATTAAAGGAGATGGGGGTAGGACTCTTGTGGTACAATAGTGAAAAATAGCTATCAGGACTGACTGTGAGGGTTGGACATGTAATGGTAGCCATTTTGTAGCAAAAGGGGGGGAGTGGTTGACTTTGCATTCTAGGAGCGGAGGTCCCTGGGACCATCAAGGGAGAAGAGCGGAGAGCAGGACCCTACCCAGAGAAACAATGATGCCAGAAATGGAGGCAGAGATGATGACGTGGAGAGATGGAGCAGCTGGGGACTCTAGACCCAGAGAGGGACAGGGACTGTGTGCTGACGACCAGGGGCAGGCTTGCTGGGTATATATACCCTTTGGTTGTTTGATGATGCATGGAGGGGATTGTCACCGTGGCAATGAAGTGATATACAATAGGATGAACATAAAGGTAATGTTCTCCCATGTAAACTATCACATAATTCACAATAAAACACTAAAAAAAAAAAGAAGAGTGTTTCTTCAAAAGTTTCTAGGGTAATTTAAGTCATTCTTTTTAACAGTGAGTACGTGAACTGTGGCATAGTGGAAGTAGGACTGCACTTGGAAGGAGGAAATCAATCCCTGCATACGTACCTATGAGTCTTGTGTGAAGGAGAAGGAAGCAGCATTCACCAGGTCTCCTGGTAGATCCCAGAAGGACCCTTTGTACACTTTAAGCAAAATCCCAGTTTAGGCACAGGAATTAGAATAATGTCAAATTTGCCTATTGCTTCTTTTTGTAAAGAAAGTTTTACTGGCCCACAGCCACACCTATTCTCGTACCCATGGCCTATGGTTGAGTTTACATTTCAACGGCAGCACATATCATACAGCCCGCACAGCCTAAAGGAGTTCCTCTGTGGCCCTTTACAGGTGGGAGAAAGATGAGGCCATCTGCTTCCATAAGGAAACGCTATGGGAGCATTTCCGCTCTGTGCTATAGGACGATGATGAGTCACAATCAAGTCTATGGCAGTGGGTTTGGGTTTGGTTGGCCCCTTCCTGACCCCCAGATGACAAAAGAGGGCAGCGGTGGTTCATTTCTTGCCTTCCATGTGAAAGATGCAGGTTCGATTCCCGGCCACTGCACAGCCACTGCCCATCTGTCAGTGGAGGTTTGCTTGCATGTTGTTAAGATGCTGAGCAGGTTGCAGCAGAACTT